ACACACACACACACAAACAAACACACACAGACACTCACTACTGGCAGTCTTACAAGCTTATTATTTTCCAACAACAACATGTCTAAGCGTGCATATCCTTACAGAGTTACTGCAAAACACCCGAGGCAAACACACAATACACCACCAATGCCTTCACATGGATTACTATGAAAACAAAAGGACTATCAACACACAGGACTTCCTTTACAGCTCAGAGGACTAGTGAGAACATACCTGTCGGGAAAAAGCTGGTTGAGAGAGACTTGAAGCAAGTCCAACATCAAATGAATTAAGAGGGGGACACCCACACATACTCATACACACCCCTCCCTGCTGATTACCTCACTTCCTATTCCACATATGCTTTGGAACCTTCTTTTTTCAGGAAGTGACTGGGCCAATAACAATGAAGGCTTGAATGAGGGAGGGGATAAAAGAGGAGAAAAAGATGAAGTGGGTGGTTTTGAGAGCAACGGAGTTACCCCAGCTGCTTCTTCCTGTGTTGCAGGGTACAAGCCACACCCACCCACAGACAAATGGTTAGTCTGATTACAGACAGAGATTAGGGCCTGTTAAATAAAACAAATATGCTGAAATGAACCTATAGTAATCAATCGCTTCTAGCTTATAAGGAAAAACGTGATCAACTGTAGTAGTAGCTGTAATACCAGTCAAACTATTTCAGTAACTTTCAGGGTTCCCCTACATTCATTTGCTGCATCTCCAAAGTAGCCAGTTGTCAACAGGTTCAGCAGGTGACTACATGCATCTTTTAACATGATACAGGCAGGGTTATGTAAGTGTGATAATAAAGGATAGAGACATGACCTCCAGGATCAGTTCGGCGACCCTGCAAAAAGCTGGCACAGTGTTTGTGCAGCTTTTTTTCTCCAGTCTATAGGAAATCCTTCTCATGTCGTAGGTTGTCATCTTTTTTAGGTACACTGGCTTGCCATGGGGTGAACCCTGTTACTGCCAGTTACCATCACTGACTCCCACCATACTCTCCCCTCAGGTCTTCTTCAATAGCAAGTTGCTTATAGCTATGAGGATGAATAGAAGGCTTCTTCTCTTCTGCCTCTGTTTTTTTTTCATATTCACGCAGACAAACCGAGATTTATGTCGCAGAGGACTGCCTGCAACTAAGCAGACATGACAGCAGAGTCTGGTTTGTGTGTGTGGTTTTTGCTGCTGAAAGACAGAGAGATCTGACAGGGAGGAATCCTCTAATAGCAGTCTACACTCTCCTCTGCGTTGCCTCTAAGCCAGTGATGCATCTTGAGCCGTCCTCTCATCCATCCAATTCCCTGTCTTCCTGCAGTGAATGAGCCTGAAGATACCGATGATTAACAAAACCTATTATTCAATGTTATCACTTTCATCTGCCCTATTTTCTCTCCTTTTGTCTCTGTATCAGGGGAAGCAGCTTTACTTGTCCTAATTAGATAGCTCTCTCATAATGTATCTATGTTCAGGCTTATATTTTCACAATTACCACTTTTGGTATGATTTTTCATTGGCCTAAATGTATGCCGAAGTATCTTATGGTATTCATGCCTAGATAATTATACTTTTGCTGTATACATTAAGATGCATTTCTGCCATACTGTGTTTGTGTATTAAGCAGGGGCAAGAATTGAGAGAGTTTTCATTGCTCAAATGGCTCATGAAACTGCAGACATGGGTGACTCCAGCTATGATGCGGACTGACAGCAGTGCCAGTGCAATCTTCTTTCTCCATGACCTAGCGGGCTTTACTGTCAAAAAGCATTTAAGAGGCCCAAGATACAGGCAGCCACGGATGGCACACATTAACAAGCCTGTGCACTCTCACACACATCCACGCTCTAATGACAACACTTTTAACAGTGCAGGATCACTTACCTAGCAAACCCGTCTATCCCTTATGACAAAGGCAAACAAAAGCACAGATATACAGCATGTATAACAAAGGTCAGCCAACAAATCAAGGCACTAATACTATCTTGAATAAACAATAACTGGTGCACCACCAGAAGTTCTGCCTTTGTGAAGGACACACAGTACAAAACAATATTTTCTTCTCCAAGGTTTGATTACATGCAGTATGTAGTATAAGTAGTAAAGGAGGTCATTACACACAGCAAGACTGTCACTGGGCTCTTAGGCAAGGCGTCACACCATTTCCCCCTCTTACAGGAAACCCTTAAACTTGCTGAGTGGCACGGAGGAAAGCTGCATCACATGATGGTATTTAGAAAAATCCTAACTACACATTATCTTATATACCAGTCTGCTTTTGACACACACACACACACACACACACACACACACACACACACACACAACACACAACACACATCACACATCACACACTTCACACTTCACACACACTTCACCTGAGGAATCTTTAAAAGTATCTTAACAATCCTGACAAACAAACAAGATGGAACAAAGACACACACAGAGGTTTTCCTTGAATTGACTTCCATTCACTGTGGACAGCATTATCCCTTACCTTAACCATGACCAATTCATATCTAACCCTAACCCTAACCTAATCATACTCCACAACAAACCCCTATCCTTAACAAGGACATCAGAAATCAAGGCCCCCCCCTCCTGAAGAGGTCAATGTTTATACCAGAAAAGGTCCTAAAGAGGTAACACCACACACACACACACACACACCATCGGAGGAATCTTTAAAATGATCTTCACGCTGTCCTGAAGGACAGAGGCAGACAGACAAGAGAGACAAGACACGCTCACAAAAGTTTGCGCTGCTATCCTTGTTAGGACTTCGCATTGACTTCCATTCACTGTGGACAGCCTTATCCCTAACCTAAGCCCATTCATAACCATAACCTGGACATGGGAAATTATGTTTTCCCTCATTAGAACTGGGCCTTCTGTCCCCATGAGGTCTGCTGGTTCTCAGAAGGTCTACGTGTATACCGGAAAAGGTCCAATAGAGGTAACACACACACAGAGGGAGAGACAGACAGACACACACACACACACAGCTGTTCCACTGGATAAAGGTTCAAAGTCTCAATGACAGATGTGAGCACCACAGCAAAATGGTTGCGATGTAAAGCTCGTTAACTTGTGTTGTGACGTCTTCTCCACGGCTGTCTGTCATCACGTTAACCGGCTAATTTAACTAACAACGTGTCCTTTATGTGCTGCTGCCGCTAACCGGTTAGTTTGACACAGTGACAACTGCTAACACAGCTTGAAATTCAGCCTCAAAGCACCGCTAATTCAATGGCAAACGTCAGCTTAACTAGGTACCAGAGAGTGTAAATTAATCCCGCGCCCTCACACACACGCTCGGTCGGTCTCGGCTTTGCTGAATGACTCCGAGCTGTCACTGCGGTTGCTTATAGATTAGCTAGTTAGCTAGCTCGGCTAAGGCGCGACAGCATTTAAACCGGGGGAAACGGCGTGTACTTACGGGCATACTATCTGTGAATCCCCCGGTGCCGCTCCACTCTTTGGCTCCGACAAGACGGGAGAACGTTTATCACTCCGCTACTCCATAAATCTCCTCAATAAGACAACAACACAAGCTCCTTCCATCTTCTTCACTTTCTCCAGTCTACCTTCAGCGAGGGGGCGGCACGGTCTCCTCGGAGTGACGGAGCACTTCAGCCAATCGGGAAGCAGTTAATAATGTCGTTACCGCGCCTTCGATTAAAAGAACCAATCATATCGTAGTATTTGCTCCATGTGAATAATTTCCACGATCACGGTAGGTTGTCGCTGTCAGTAGTTGCTCTTTGACAGCAGAGCGAGTTGCTAAAATGCTGTTAATGAACTACATGAATAAGCCTTTTATTTATTTATAGTGGGAATATGATACTGTCAGAAAATATCCTTCAGCATATTAATTGCACTTTAATGATATTGACTCATTAGTAATTTACCTTTGATTATAATGCAGTATATTCACATTTTAATTATGTAATTGTAATTTTCAGCTTTAACACTAAATATATTAATATTAAACAACATTTTATACTTTGTTGTTGTTACAAAATTATTTTTTTACCCAGCACATTCTGCACACATCACACACAAAAGCAACACTCTCTCAGATAAATAATGCATGACCACTTGACAATGACCTCCGGAACAATGAATTTTCCAATATTAATTATCAAGACGGCATGTGTGTGTGGCCATGTGTTTGTTTGCTTTAACAATAGCAGATGCCGGAAAGCTGCAGATTCCAATCAGTGGATAAATACAACGAGGCTTTTCGTGGATTATAAGCATCAAATCTGCTCTGTCTGAATGTTGCAATAGCAAAATGACACAACAGCCACAACAAACATCAGGCAGAGTTCCAATTGCTGCATATAGGAAACCACATTCTGATCTGTGTGGTCCTTGCTGGCATTATAGATGAGATGTACAGTTTTCAACCTGTATAGTGATTTGGAATAATATTAACAACAAGGCAAAGTAAAGTTCTAACATTTAAAACAGTGATGTATTAATCATGTGATCCCTGATTCTGGGACTGTAGGATTTAGGTTTTCTTGAATTCCATTTAGTAGAATTTATAAGAGAAGCTCTACAACTCAGGAATAAGGAACACTCGCTGTTACAACAGTAAAGTAAGCATGCATTGCCCCCTAATGTTCGCTGTTATAATTACACATTTTAGGGGAAATTTAATTCTTCACAAAGATAGATGAACAGTATTTTAAGTTTGAGTGCCATATTCAATAAATTATCAATTAGCATTCATGTCCTTGAAACAAGGTGCTGCCAAGGCCTGCAAACCACAGTATATAGTCACTACCATTAAATACATGCATGATGTTTTGTGTGTAAGTTTTTCATTATGCGTCACAGTTTTAACATTCCTGATGTTGCTGCAGATGTCAGGGTAGCAATACTGATGACTGATCCTGTGATTGTGATTTATCAAGAAAAAGGACATTGCAACTTGAAAAATGTGGTTTAGTCTGAGCGACAACAGTAGCCTTGCTGTGTGACACTGTTTCCACCCATGATTGTAACAGAGTGTGTGTAATCTTTGTAAGGATATAAAATACTTAAAATGTAATTAGTGGATTAAATTAAACCATTTAAACTACAAATTAGCCCCTGCAATATGTGCAGCCTCGGTGAGGACTTCTCCGGCTCGTTGTTTGTATTCCGCCATCATCTCCTTCGCCCTCCTCACATTCCTCATGTTCTCCTCCAGGTTCTCACTTAGTCTCCCTTGCTCCTGGTACGATGGTGCTGCCCCCTTCACTTGCTCGGCCTTTTGATCCCTGTTGCGGAGAAGCCAGTTGAACAACTCGTGAAGTGTGGTACACCTTGAGATGGTGGCTCTGGCGCTTTCAGAGGTGCCCCTCAGCTCTTCCTGAGCCAACTTTAGACGTCGAGGAAGCGACTCCTCCTCGCATTCACCGTCTAACCCCACAGGGACCACATTGAGGGAGAAATCATAGCCATTCATCTTAAGCGACACTTTGTACGTGGCTTCTGGAGATAGAGAGAGATGGACATACATAAAAGAAGCAGAAACAGAAAATTTAGCCATGATAACCTTCCATCAAATTGTCTGTACATGTAGGTAGTGTGTCACTCACGGTGCTCCTCTCTGATCTTCCCCACACAATCAGCAATACCCAGGGTATCACTGTGGGCACAGTCACAGTTCTGTCGCAGGCTGCTGATGTGTCGGACCAGGGCCTCATAACTCTGCTGCTGTTCATTAAAGATCTCGGCCACTTCAGAAAACCTCTGGTCCAACTCTGGCACGTTTACTCGCCTCATCACCAGCCTGCCAATCCGTCTCACTGTCTGAGCTTCAGGGCAGAAAGAAAATCATTCCATCAAAAAATAATTCCATATCTTTATGAACTGGAGGGGTTTGAGAAAGTGATGATGTACCACTGCATGCTGCTGGGATCTGTCTGGCTGATCCAGCTTCATTCAGATCAGATGTTCTGGGCTGCAGCAGAGGCTGCCTCTGAAACAGCAGAATAGATATATCTTTATATGTAATCTGTCTTTTATCACCTCCACCAAGAGAGTAATAAATGTTTTTCTTCTCCATTTGTTAGCAGGATAACGCAAAAACTTTTAAATGGTTTGCTATTAAACTTGGTAGAGGGATGAAGTTTGAGTCTTGTGGGACTCAAACATTTTTAAACCCTTGAATCTTGAATCAAATGTCAGTGCAGATCCAGAACAGGGAGTGGCCGGAATTTTTCTTTCATTTTCTTTAACATTGCAAAATATGGGGTTTGTTAACATCTCAGACAATAATTCATGGATCTTGATGAAAACAAAAAAATCAGGCATGTATAGGGGACAGATATGTAAACTATTGGGCCTTGTGGGTATAAGTATACTAATCAGTGCCATTCTAGTGTAGTTATTTATATTTACTGGCATTTATAAAACACAGACATAAAACACTACAATACTTGTGATCACCTGGAAACATGAAATGACTCAGTGCACAGCCACTGTGAAGCATGTTTTAGCCTGTCTGTACATTATTCAAGAGATTTCTATTATTATAATCAGTGTTTTTATTGATTGTGACCACACTCGAATAACTTAATAATGTCTTTCTGTGACATATGCACAGTATATTTATGTTTCTTCCCTGCCATTGTTACATTAAAGTAGGCTATGGCAGTAATTGTTTAATCCCATAATTTCACTGAGGGTCGTATCTGATCAAGTTTCTCGTCAGATCTCGATGGAAGCCCCTTTTTATGATCGGATCAACATTTACACGAAGCTCAGTACGGTGAAAGCACAGCCTACCTCGTCGTCGCCGGAGTTGGGACTGGAGACGCAGCAGCAGAGAAGCTGAGGCATGTTTCTGCAGCTCTGCCACTTTGTTTTCGGGTCAGTTATTTCTGACAATTATGCATTTGTGCTCCTCATTCCGCGTGACGTCGGCATCATGTGATTCATGGAAAAACTTCCTGGTGAAGTTGCAGATTTGGACGTCAGGTGCGAAGAACGTGCACAGACACCTGCAGCAGCGAGGTAAACACTGTGCTGCCGTTGGTGCTATCGCAATATCTTCATTCACTGGAAATAAAATAAAAAACTGAAATCTACTTATACATACAATTCCATGTTTTTATGTGTTCCTTAGTTGTTGAAGAAATCTACTCTGCAATCCCGCACGTTTAAGTGTTGCGTGTCTGTCGCAAGAGGGTGAACGCGAGTCGATACTACCACAACAGAACCGTAGAAGAAAAACAAGGGACCCCCACAGTCCATGGAGTTTGAGTCGTAGCTTAAAAAATACGCGACACTGACCGGGTTTTATTTCCACATGACAGCAAGTTTATCTTTTATGAATCTCACCACTACCTTTCAAGGTGAGGCTGTGGGCGAACTCTTCACTCATTTCATACATAAACCCCACCAGGAGCTGTTCGTGGCTAGCGAGCAAAGTGTAAACAAAGAGACCATCGCTGCACACTGCTCACACAGTGTCGTAGTTTGATTTAAACTGAGGAGAAGACACTAACCGGGCTGACATGACGGGGATAGCCCCTCCGGAGAAGGCGTCCGGCTCCAAGAAGAAGTGCGAGAGGAAGTGTGCCACCAAAGAGGAGTACAGGCAGCTGTCCGGCATCATGGCAGTCATGAACAACCTGAGGAAGCAGGTGTGTGCACAGAGACGACGGTCAGACCTTGTGTGTGCAGACAGCTTTGAAAATGAATGTCCTGAAATCAAGATATGAATCATACCAAAGAAGATCTATGATTAGTATAAGAAATGTCACATTATTGCAAAGACTAAAGAGCAGTTTCTAGACTGATTTTGCTCCTGGGTGATGGTTGTGTTTTTAGACTCTTCTACTTATATACACCTTTCACTGCAGAGGATGATGCACGAGCAACTAGAAAGAACGTTTGTGCGTAAAAACATACGGTGATGTGCAGATGACATAAATGTGCAAAAATGTATTTACCTTTAGAAATAGTGCATATAGTATAAGTGGGGGGAAAAAAGGGCAGTATTTTAATTTTCATTTCCCGATGGTGTTGTAGAGTCTGGCAGCAGTGGGAATACAAATCTGAGTTAGAACAATATATAGGTGGTCTCTAGGTAAATCAATTATAGGTTATACCTCCTTGCTGTGTTTGTACAATTCATATATGAATACACACTATATATGTTTGTCAGATTGCTATTGATGAAATGTATATTGCATTTATTTTTGAAATTGTTCTATTGCCCAGCCCCTGTGTTCCTCCCTTTTTTTGACAAATGAAAAATGTGTTTGTGTGTGTCTACCGCAGGGCACCCTCTGTGATGTGACCCTGGTGGTTCAGGGGAAACACTTCCCTGCCCACAGAGTTGTACTGGCTGCTGCAAGCCACTTCTTCAGCCTCATGTTCACTAGTAAGTGTGATTTGCAGCTGGTCTGTCAATGCAAAGCTGCTTTGGGTTAAATGTAAGTGTAAGCATAAGTTAAGTGTGGATTTTTGTTATGTTGCTCTTTGGTAAATGCCCTGTGATTGTTGCTGTAAACCAATTTCCCTTGGAGGCAAAATAATCTATCTGTCTAAATGCTCATTAGTTTTGTTTGAAAGTAACTAAATCAACCAATCAAAAGAAAGAAAAAAACAACCAAGGTTCTCTTACACATACACACATTTTACCTCCAAAAATAACACAAATAAGGAATATTCTTAATTTTGTGAATCACAGTCACTATAGTACGATTACACATTTTTAACTATCCAGTGCTTTCCAAGCTGTTGCCAAGCCTAGCTGAAAAAACATCTCCGTTTCCCAAGTGTTGTGAAGCCTTTCACTCTTTTTCCTCACCTGCAGCCAGAATGATGGAGTCGATGTCCCATGAAGTGGAGCTCAGGAGTGCTGAGCCTGAGATCATTGAGCTGTTGATTGAGTTTATCTATACGGCTCGGTAAGACTTTCATTTAAACTTGAGCATAATAACTC